GAGCAATATACATTTCTGTCATCACTTCTGACCACTCTGTGCTTCAGGTTCTCTCTGCTATAATAAAATCCAATCTCTTTCAGTGGTCCTTTTTCATAAAATTATCTCCATATTTTCTTATTATTAACAATACATATACTGACTGCTTTTTTTTTCCTATTCTGTCTCTATTATACACACAGTTTATGGGAAAAGATTGCTACAAAAACTAGAAAGTGGAAGACAACCCACAAATAACCCCCAAAAATAAATAAAAGATTACAACCCTTTAGAAAATGGTGACCGTTCCAAACGGGACGGGATGAGTGTAGTAGGACTGATATGAATTTCGATAACGGGGCGGTCCTCGGAATCACATTCATGCTGTTTAACCTCCTCTTAACCGGGAATTATCATGTCAAAAGAACTACAAAAATCAAAGATCAATCTTAAGAAAATACTTCTTAAGAACTAAAGATTTGTGGCTTCCATGTTATTTTTAAGAGAGAAATCTAAAAAACTCAATTCAAAATAATCAAACTTTCACCAGAAGATATCAGACAAAAGCCTCAAAAGAAAAACATTTGAATAAACTTTTTATTTCTTTTAGGTGAGTGTTTTTGTGTACTATCCTCTTTCTCTTCACATATATATATTTTTTTATAAAAAAGTACTCACATGTATGATAAAATTCAAAAAATATTCTTCCTTTTTTTGGGATGTTAGTGCAGGACATGATAATAATGAACTCAGAGCAGTGCATCAAACCTCTATCTCTCTCTCTCTAGCTTCAGATCATCATTTTTTTTTTTTACCTGAGCTATGTCAGTCACAGGAGTTCTTGACTTGCAAAATTTAGGGCAAAAAGAAGAAACTATAGTACAATAATAATACACCTCAAAAATGGAAACAAAGAGATGACCATACCCATTCAACTCTGCCATTTGACTGCAACCAAGTTCCATCAAACACCTCTCTACTCAAATACATATCAATCCTTTTTTCTTTTTTCACTCTCTCTATTTAAGTGTTCACTAATCACATCTCTTTTGCTAATCATAAAACCGAGATTACTCCAAATTTTTTTTTGTCAAAAAACTACAACAGTTGTAGGGTCTAGTGAGGAGGAGACACTTAAATTTGTTTTTTTATAGCCACAGAAAACTCAAAGAGGACTGATTTTTAAAAAGTGATCATTAAGGTTGAAACAAGGTATGTCCTTGTTTGATCTACAGGAAATAACCATGTGAACTCATAATAAAAAGAGTTTTCCATTGATGGGCATTGTTCTTTGATGTACCTTCCTACTTTGTGTGCCTCTACTTTTGCAGCATTACATAAGACCAAAGAAAACAACACATAACAATCCCATAATTGACTACACTCCTCATAAATGATCTCATAAATCGATTGGTTTTTTGGCATCGGGTTTACTCGGTTAACCAAAGAATTAATCCAAGAGCTATATGGAGGATAAAAGTTACAAAAAAAAGAGAGAATGTTACCGTGAGAAAAGTCATATCAAATCGAGTTTTGAGATCGGAGCTTTACACTTCCTTACCATCTAAGCTTGTGTCCTGTTCTCTCAGTATAATCCACTAAGTTTCCTGCAGGAAATGCTGTAGAAACAGCTGACACATAACAAATTCTGTCAGCGATAATTTAGCAAGTTTATAATGTCA